GGGGGGGGCGGTCGAGGTGGCCGCGATTGCATTATGCTCGTTAGCTTATGCTAATGGCCTAATAAGGAATAATAATAAGAAACGGAGTAACGAACGCCGCCGCGTCCTCCGCGTATAGTACAAGCCCGTACGTTCGTATATTTCAGACAGCCAACGAAGCGAGGAGAGAAAGCAGCAGCGAGCGGAGGAGGCTCGCCTCGAGTCGAACCTACAGCACAAGGAGAGGGACCGGAAGAGGAAGTTAACCGCGCTTCCGGTCAAGGTGAGCCCGGCGCCCTTATACACCGCTATCGCGTCGTGTCGCAAAGATTCTTTTTAACCTTTTTTCATCATTTTCTCTAACTACCACCTTTTTCCACTTCTACTTTTTATCACTTTTATTTCTCATTTCCCTAATACTTATATTATCGGTTTACAGCCGAATTCACTGGTACCTCCGATTATTTTATTCAACAATTAAATTAATTCCGTTAGTCATTTAGAAATAATTCTAAATATTTAAATAAATTTGGGAATTATAAAATATGCAACGCGAATCGGATTAAATTTCATCAATTACACATTTTACGCTTGATCAAAATTAAAACTAATTCGGGTATTTTCCATTCATCTCGATTATATTTTTCATTGCAACCGCTATTTTTCAGAACGATGCGAAGAAGCCATGTCAGGCAGATGCTAATGGCGACAAGAACAACGATACCGTTTACGTTAATCTTAATGAGCCTAAACCGGCTACCAATCCGATTCAGTCACAGCACCAGAACAATCACCATCAACAACAGCTAGAAAATATAGATAATTACAGTACACCGACCAGCCCGGCTAAGTCAGAAGTACGTAGTTTCTATTTCGAACAAGATTATACTTAGAAATTTTCTATTTTTATCAACACATTTTTATATAGTTTATATTTTATGTCTATAATAATTGGATTTATTGATTTGTTAGTTTCAAGTAAAATGTTTTAAAAACAAAATTAATTTAAGAAAGTATTTCGTGTGTGATAAATACATTTTAAAAGCTTTCCTGCATTTTCTTACTTCGTGTTACCATTTATATGTGATAACGTTACATGATCTTTGATGATACTGATACCTTGATACTTTGATTTTTTTCTTGCAGGATGAAACGAGCAACGAGGGACTTGTAGTCGATGTGGACGGTCCGGTGGCGGTTTCCGGTGGCGATCCCCATGGACAGCCCCGAGGCAGTCTCCAGTTCGGAGAATCTCCATCTAAGATCGCCCGACTCGGACATCATTTCACCTTCGGCATGAGTGCAAACGCGCGAATGCGACAATCCGTACGTGGTGCAAGCAAACGCGGTCGACCGCGAGGTTCTCGTAGAGGTGGGCCAATTGGCGGTAAAGGAAGAGGATTGCTTTTAACGAATCCGTCATCGAAGATTTCGAACGTGGCCAGTGAACCGTCGTCCACAGCGATGTCACCGATTGACGGAGGTGGATGCTCGAATGAGGTGTTGCGACACTGTAAGTATTTGGTTTTTTTGTAATTTGCACTATGTTTTTATTATATTTATCGATCAAATTTACAAATAGATATCAAAAAATATTGCGTAAATAATAGAAACTGTTATTTTACCAAAACAATTAAAAATTAATTTCAACGCAATAATTCATTCAATTACATTTTTAATGGTTATAATGATTTACAATGATTTATCATTTGTTATAATAATAATAATTCTGATGTTTATTAATATTCGTATTTCAATTAGCTACGCGAGCGCAACAGTTGTGTGATTTGTAAATATTTAACAAACAACGTTACGTAATTCTTGATTATAATCCTATCGACTGCTATAACATACATGCATAATATCTATGCAGTTATCGCAACCGCCCTTGTTTATAGTTTTATCGAGGTCAATTATATAACAGACGGAAGTGTTTGTAATGCGCAAAAAGGAAAATATTCATAATTAATTAATATTTTAATGATGATGGATAAAAACAAAAGGACGCTGCGAAACGAAAGCTTGCTCGCGAGAAAAATGACTTCTTTCACGAACGCGACCCCGTCAATCGATATATCGTTATCCCAACTGGCTTTTTCGGTGGTCTCCTCACTCCCGCTCCTCTTTTACGTTCTCGATGCTATCTTTTGCCCAAGCACTTGCCCGGGTTCTCAGGGGACTTTGTGGTTCGCGAGAAGAATGCCCGTGGGTCCATCACGACCCCATCGTCGGCCGGTGCCGAAATTCCCTCGCGAGCACATGTGCACCCACGAGTGTCGAGGGGGTAACAGTTGGCGCTCCTCCACGGGGCACCCTTAGAGACACATTTGCCTCTCCCCGTTTTTCTCGTGACTCATTCTGCGACTCGTTTTGTAAACGACGAAATTCAGGGCTTAAGTCCTGTGGGGAAAGCTTAGCTGAAACATTTGTTGCGCGACGCAAGTGCATTGTGTGACAAGGGTGTTCTAGAAATCTGCCAGTCATTGGAAATATATAACGATTTTGAATAGCTCATACGATATAATATTCCAGTTATTAATAAGATGAAGCATTTAAAACTTCTTTACATATTATTAATAACAATATTATTGTTATAACATTGGTTATAAAAACGGTAATTTATATATATAATACTCTGTTTTTTATATTATTTGATATACATTTATCTTGTCTTACACAAAATCTTCGTTATTCAAATTGTCATTGTGTCGCAAGCATTAGGATTTTCCTCAAATATGCTTTTAATGAAACGATTAATTCTCTCACATCGAGTGAAGTCGAGATTGTAAAAATGTGGAACGAACGTTGATTACGTGCTCGTCGCTCTCGCGTTAATTAGAAAAAGACAGAGAGAAGGAGAGAGAGAGGGAGAGAGAGGGATACAGTGCGTATGTCCGATAAGACGACCTCACGCAACGCCACGTGGACCGTGGATACGCAGTGAACAACACGTACGCGTGAGTGCGTGCGTGCCCGCGCGCAAGTGTTAACACATTCCGTCTCGTGCTACGAGTACGTACGAAAGGAAAGGGGTCGGTCTCTCTCACTTGTCGTCGACTGGAAGACGAGGCGGACAATAGCAGGTGCAGAGCGAAGGCGACAGCTGCGATCGATGCTCTTCTTAGGTTTTTGGAACTCGCGTACTCGTTCTCTCTCTTCTCTCTCTCCCATTTTTCTTCGTTTTTTCGTCTTTATCATCGTTATTCTTTTCTTCTTCCTCTTCTTCGTCAGCGCCTTTTTTACGTGTCCTTTCTGTTCCTGCTTCGTCCTTTTTCTCCATTAGTTATCTCCTTATCGAGATGCAGCGCGCGCTTGATCCAGCTGTCAATGTTCCAAGCTCTCACCGGCATGCGTCCAGCGTTATTCCCGTTGATTATAAGCTGTATCCCGCTTATTTTAACCGATAAATCGATGACTGATGGATTAATGGCAGTAAGGACCAGAAAAGTGAAATATAATTAAATTGATATCAATTGAATCGCCCTTTCGAGAGATACATATATTATCGAGAGCTCTAAATTTTGTCGAGATAACATTGCACGGTTAAAATCTACGTTTCGCATAAACGCAAATTAAGATTAAAGTCAGATTAATTTAGTGCTTACCACAATTCAACATTCCTTCGAGCATTCTCTCTTAATACGATGAAATTAGTATAAACCTATGTGTGTCTATACTAATTTACTTATACATTGAAGCATATAAATTGTAGATGATATTTATTAAGAATTTTTAGCTTTTTGATCGATTATCATTCAATATGTCAACATTATGTCAATATCTATTATGAATTTAAAATGCAACTATAATACATTTCACAATCAGTTGCATAATCCCGACATCTAATTTCCCTCGTCGTTTCGCGAAGTCCAATAAAAAAAGGGACAACCTATAGGATAGGGAGAATTATACGAACCCTAAGGTTGAATATTGTCGATTCGTGCCGTGCCGTACCGTACCTTACTGTGTCATCTCGTCCGTCGGTTCCGCATCTTCTCGGATATCATGTTTTCATATCGCCACGCGGAAAGCATTTTTGAATATATTTTTCCCGTTTTGTTTACAGTTAGACAACAGTTTCAATTATTAATATTGATAGTCTGAAAATTTTAATTGAAAAGCTATAAATACTTATTTTAAATGTTCAGTTATATTTGCGTAAATAATTTATAGATTTTTAAATAAAATTTGAAAGATCTTTGCTTGCGAAAAATAAACGTGTGAAACAAAGCTAGATATCAGATGAATCAGTAGTTTTTAATTTGCATAATTTTAACATTGTATTCTAGATATTATAAAATAGGATTCACATAGGGTGCACATTAATGGTTTTACTTAACTGAATTTAATGGGCGGAAAATAGTTTTAGGAGATCTTGTAATCTTATTAAATAATTATTCTGATTTTTAATCTCGAAGCTTAATTCTTCTACAATTTTTCAGACATATGAATAGGAGATAAAATGTATGATGGAGGTGGTTTTCTTGCACGAGTAAAATAATGGGAGGATAATGTGACACAGAATAGGACGAGGCAAAGATAAAAGTGACCCATTATACGGTAACGTCGACATTTCATATCTCCCATTCTCACTATCTCGAAAGCTTTATTTTTGCGTCTAGCAGGCTCTCATGCGTTTGTATAACTATAAAATTGTAACACAGTTTATAATTTAATTCAGTCGTAACGCAAGTCGTAAATTAATTCACGAAAATTCCTATTGAACCACTTGGACATTAGATAACGAGTTTCATTACGTACAGACATGTACTAATTTTATGAGTCTGTTTAATGCAAAGATGCCAATCGAATTTCCATTTTCATCGGAACTGTTCACGCAACGTCGCGATTTGCCAGTCAGACACTCTTTATCGAGGAATGTGGTTTCTCTCATAGCTTAATAATTATAAAGAATAATATTTCAACCAGTAACTTTTGTTTGTGATTCTACAGAATACAACGTAACGTTGCACACACGTGTTATTTCTATAATAATGTTTGACGCGCGAGTCGGACTTATTTATCTAGACTTGTTTATACGCCGACATTCAATGATCGTCATTTCAGATTTTCGCGGAGCATCTTTGAGTTTTCTCCTCTTCTCAGTCAGTCCGATTCACGCGTGGAATTTTCAGGGCGCATTATCGCATTCGCTTGCGAGTGCGAGAGTCGGCGGCTTTGTGGGGACAGACGCGCATTTTCGCGTTTTCTACCCCTCGTCCATTTCGTTAAGTATCCTCTTAGACCGTAGTGGTTGAAGAAGAACGGCTCCTCTAGCTATCGGGTACGTGCCGCGGAATGCCGACGAGGCGGCCGGGATAAAGACGAAAGGGGCAAAATACGAGATATCCACGTTCGAGAGGAGGGGCATACTGTGATTTTCGTGCGCATCGCGTTTTCCCCTCGAAAAAATTTCCTCGAATCGCTTCTTCTCGAGAATTCGATCGACTCGTGAAAAGCACGGGACGAGATCTTTCGTGAGACGCTTTCCAAGCGTTTGTTACGTGGCATTTTAACGCTCCGCGTCGAAGAACGTAACAATGACATTCTCTCACGATGCTCAAATAATGCGTATTTGAGCATCGTACTCCCGCATGCTTATTTAAAAATCGTAGGAACTCGAGTGTTGGATATACCTATTTTGTAGTTTCTGAGAAGTATACCCTTCATTTCTCGTGGGAATTTTCTTCTCGATCTGCTTCCTCGCGGGAGTATTTGTTAATTGTGCAAGATGTTGTACAAGCGTATATAATTGATATTTTTTTCCCATGGTATTTAACTCACGAGTGATAATTTGGGCGTTTCGCTCGTCTGCTAACTGGTTAACACCTCGTAGGTAGTCCGCGAGTTTCGAGCGTGTGGCCTCTCATTGGCCACATCACCAAAAATAATCGGTGAATAACCGATTAACAGTTAACTAGTCGAACCACTCAACATTAAACTCAGTATCGTGGTGTCCGTGCATTTGCCTCGCTGTAAACGAAACAATTACATCCATCATGACGTCTAATTATTGCAATAACAGCCTTTCGAGTTATCCCAATAAATTTTTAATTACGCATCTCGTACAAGCCATGAGTGATATTAATAATTTCAGTAAATTTAAATTAATAAATTGAATTTTGACTGAATTTAAAAGAATCTTTAGTAAAATCGCACTCGCACGTAGACACACGTATTTTATCGTCATATTTTATGGTTAGAGTATTTTATTAAGTTACATCGAAGCGAGGAGCTGTTGCCGCAGCGGCGACGTTTCCAGCGGAATCTCCTGAAAGGGGCGTACTTTTTATGTCCTAGGGACGCCTGCGACTTCTGATCCTGCGGACGGGGACGGTCCCAGCACGGTGGGTCCACTGGGACCGGTGGGCACTTTGATACCTACGTCAGGACGCAGCGGTAATGCTGGGATTCGTCGTGGTCCTGGTAGACCACGATTACGGCCGACTGGGCCTGGACATCAGGGCTATCGCACCCCCGGTCACCATCATGGCAAGAAAATTCAGCGGCCGCTGCCAGTACCTATCAGATCCCATCAGACGACCGCGGGGGTCGGTCAGCAAAAAGCATCTTCATCGCAGAAGCGTGCCGGCATATCGATGACCGGTAAACCGTCATCGTCATCGTCCTCAGTCGCACCTGCGAATTCGACACCATTATTATCTTCGTCATCGTCGTCATCGTCGTCCTCAATGTCATTGGCGGAATCGCGACCTTTCGGATTTTACACGCAGCAACAGCCACGTACAGGATCATCGTAGTTTCGCGGAAGAGGAACAGTGATTTGATTTCAAGTTCGGCCTGGTTAAACAATGCACTGCACTCTTGCGATACCGGTAAGGTGTTCTCGAGATATTTTTGTGTATTTTCTTTTCACTAGGTGCCGAAATTTCTACAGCTGGATCATCCGCGATAATCAGTGGATTAATGGAGTGAAAAAAGTCACGCGATTTATTTTTCGAAATTCAGATTTGATACGATAAAATATCGTATATATATTTATTGTATCTCGTGAGATACAATAAGCATTTGACTTTTCTGCCAGTGATGTTTCTGTACGCGTGACTCGAGCGTGCAATTCCGATAAGCGTTAGATTTCTCGTCCCACCCTCCCCCCCTTCTCTCATCCTAAATTATAACTATATACGAAAGGAGGCAGAGCGATTGACAATATCTAGGTACAGTTACGGTGTTATGATTATATTGCACAATTATATTTATTTTAGTTACGGCGTAAGAAATACGGCGGAACTCGTCGTCGTACGTTAGAAAATACAATCGTCGACGTCAGTTAGGTACTTAATTCGACGCTTGCCTTCGAATCCTTCCGGTCGGATTCGTCTCCTCGGTTTCACAGCAATTTGGATCGTGCTCTTCGATTGAACGCGCAGGGATGAAGTTCTTGTGGGATACTTACTCCGCCGCGGGAGTGAAAGGGGTCGGTCTCTGTTATTAATCTGTCGATCCGATTCTACGTATGTGGTACAAGTGTAGCTCTCGTTTTTTAACTCTAAGTATACAATTAGGTAATCGACACGACGTGTCGTCGCGCGCACGTCGGCGCCGAATTCTGACGACGATCATCGACAGATCAGATCTCCGGCGAATACGTCGACGAAAAAGGGGTCGTATCTTAGATATCGCCTCCTTCGTCCTCTCCATCGATCGCTCTCTCGGCGTCTTTGTACATTGTTCATTAACGATAGCATTATTCCGTCACTAGACTCGGTTAGCCGATATTTTTTATGCATATTACGAGACGTCGTTTAGGCCAATTCAATTTGTAAAAGAATAGTATTTATATTAGCAATAAACGGTCAAAAATTCCATCTTCACGAATGTCTTGCAATTTCAATGCGAATTTTTATATACACAAAACGTACCTCCTACTTTCTCGCATCCTTTCACCGACAACTATTTTAGCTGACTTCAATCAATTTCTTCCTAACAAAAATTTGATATAATTTTGTACCCCTATACCCGTCCTCGTTTCTGCTACTTTCGATTCTCAAGAAACATGCAAACGACTATCGGTCGGGTGCGGTAGGAGCAGGACGCGAGGATTCTGTACGATAATGACTGATCAACGAAGCGGTATCCGAAAGCTGGAAGTGCCGGTTAATGGGTGCGAGTATGCAGCTGTCGGTGGAGCCGCGTCATCAGCTGCGTGATTGGGATCAAGCCGAGCGCGAGGAATCTTCGTGCCTCGTGATTCCTTTTATCTGATCGCGCGAACGGCGAGAATCCCATGCGTAGCGCATTTTTGGAATTAATTAGCGAATATCCCTTTCCTGTCAGTATAAGTCGGTTAGGAGTTCGTTGGTTTCCAACTATTGCCGTTAAGTTCATCCAAAAACCGTGGTTGAGAAATACACGACGCGTGGTGGCTGTATATATTAACTCATTTTGAATTGATTTAATTAATTTAATTGTGCAAACAGATATTATCGCAGCTTCAAGATGTGCCACGATAATTTGATTTATCTCGAATTTTTATTTTAATATGCTCCATTATAATTAAGCACGGAAGTGATTAACATTTTACATTTGTTTTACAATATAAATGGATGATTGTAATTCAACTCACATCGAAGCACGCGCGTTCCGATTTCCAGTCAATAATAACAACATCAACAATAACAAGCAACAAAGAGTTGTACTACAACCTGCTTCAACGGAAAGTGGACATACGTGCGCCGACACAATTGCAGCCCGCATACGTAGTCGACATCGTAGGTCGCAGGCTCTCGTCAAGGTCGCTGTTATGGATAAAGACGGACCATCAATGGCATCCAAAAAATATCAGGTAAGTACAGTAAGAGAGAAAAAGAACTGAAATGTAGAAGAGAGCACGCGATAGGGGTTGCAGTTTAGACTGAGTGCAGGAGCGAAATCAAGTTATCATGACGATCAGCTTCCTTTCTTTGCTTTAGTGGCTATAAATATAAAGTGAGCTAAACATAGAAACTGAACGTCATCGTGTTGCAACACTTATACGAATCTACATATACAATTCGGTATATACATGTATATAAATTTTATTGAACACAAAAGATATAAATATTTATATTCACGCAATATGATATCACTAAATTAAATACTGAAATTTCAGTCTTTTTTTCCTTTTAAAGAAAAAGAAATTATTTGTTTCTAGAAATGATTCATGTTCCAAGCGCATTGATACTAATTTAATATTAATTGATTGATACTCGTAATAACGCACCTTTACACAATTACGTTGAATTTATCAATATCGTTTCTATGTTTCCCATAAGGAATATTTTTTAATAATTTTGAAAACTTATCTATATCAGTCATTTCCACATTCGGTCAATATGTATCTACGATTGTACTCTGGCTGAACGTCGACCGATCGCTTTGCGTCGCGCGCGCTGTCACGCGAGAGAAGAGCAGGAGTCCGTCCGAGGACCGAGACCTTGCGTTGCACCTGCTACTCTCAGGTGTACACGAGCGCGTCTTTTATCCGGGCGCGATCTCGAGTGCATCTCTCTTCCTCTCGTCCTTTTGTACGCCGCGAACGAAAGGCGTACACGCGAGGCGCGCCGCTGTTCCGAGTCCGCGATTAATCGCTCGCGCGCGCTCGACAATCCCGGCCTAATTAATCTGGCCATCTCGCTCGACGGTCGTCTTCGCGCGTACAATCGCGATCGCGATAAAGGGTAAATCCGCACGAAAATATTTCAACATAGATTTTCACGAAATAACTTTCATTGATACATTCACTATTTGTTGCTCCCAAGCAAGATCGGATGATTTGATGCCCATAATAATATATGGTCATCATATCGGGGCGCTGTATGTCCTTTCAAACTACTACGGCACATCTGTGCGGCTAATTAACTCTCTTGCGGCAATGAGATCGATACGCGATCGGGAGACAAATCGTGACTTGAACTTGACAGTTGCAGGTGCGAGTCACGAAACGAGTTCCTTCAAGGTCATTATCAGCCGCACTGCATTTCCGATTAGTATTTTTCGTCCTGGGGTGTTTACACAGAATCGGTAATTGATACATGACCAGATCTCCTTTATCGCGCAAATTGATTTTTCTTACGTGTCATTCCTAATTTTAAATATCATACTTACTTGACCTAAGAAGAAATAGTAATTGCGAGTAAGAGATTCAATTATCAATTTCAGATTAAATTGTCGAGATTAATTTATCAATATTCGATGAATAGAACAATAGATCTGTACGAAAATCAACAGGTAAATCGCAGCTAACGAAATAGTAGCCATCCCTTCGACGATCCCATTCCTCCTTTCGTCAAATTGGTCAATTAGTGCTAATTATTTTGGTGGTGCGATTCTATCTCGTAAATTTTTGTGATTTTAAGATAGTCTGTATGCCCCGAAACGTGTGTCAATGTCAGATATATGATAATATACGTATCACATGAATAGATTGTTGATTATCACGAAACTTTTTCGAACTTTTCGCCATGAAGATGAAGCTAATCTTCTGCGTTCATCTCTTTCGAAAATTCCTGATCAATTATCGTCCCGCGGCGTACGTAAATCCGACCCTCGAAATTATGACGTCCTTGAGAGCGCGCGTCTCGCCTTTCGTCCGAGACGTTCGACGGTGGGATAATTTGACACACGCACGGTATTGTAATTAGAAGGATAATTACGTAATTATGAATTAATATGGTGCGCCGTATTCCTGGCTCTCTCTCTTCCTTCGATCGCATCGGCAAGCAGTCGGCCGTGCGAGCGAGCGAACGAACGTTCGCCAGCGTCATCGTCTATGCCAATTAGGCGCGGCGGCAGGTTGCCACGAAATTAAAGCTTTTATTTCGGCGTGCGAACGCACGAAATTAGCGAAGCGAAACACGAAACAGGCCCCGGATATATTCCTTTCCGCACTTTCAACCCCGCGAATATGGCCCACGATGCACTCGGTGTGTGAGCTTCTGCACATCCAAGTCTATTAAAAATATCCACGATTTTTAAATATGCATATTAACGTGTTTGATTTTATGCGACATATAATATAATATATTTTGTTCTCCACGAGTTGTTTTAAATTAGCGAAAAATTTAGGAGTAATCCGTAAGCGATATTATACGTACATTATAAGGAATGATGATTAGTGTTTCGTTATCCATCCATAGCCCAAAGGTCCAGTTTGCGATAATTTTAGCTTTGCAGTTTGTAAAACTTGTAGAAGAAAGGGTACCCGAGACATCTGGCATTTGCCGTTGGCAAATTAGGATTTTACGGATTCCGATGTGTACAGTTAGGCGTTTCGTTCCTATACGTACGAAACAGGTTGAGCGCGTTCGCACTTACGAGAAAAAGCATAGCTTACTCTTGCCACGAGACAATTAACGACATCGTTAAGCCACGAGCGCGCTCTTGCGATCGCGCAGTATGCGCGAATTTTACGCGTAAGAAGACTGCGTGTGGGTCAATTAACGGCATCGTTAAGACGTTGGGACTCTGTTCGCAATCGTGAGACACGTTTAGAAATTTCTTGAAAAAAAAAACGCTCGTTAGCAATTTTCTTTCGTTATCTCTCTTTTTTCTTTATACAAGATTTTGTTTATAGATATATTAATGCTATGTCACTATTTCTCGAAATATGCGCTTTATTCTTAATTTCGAAAACTAGTCCGTTGCTGGTGCAATAATACTGTCTATCTTTGATAGAACGGAAAAAATGAATGGTCGGAATGATTTTAAGAAGAAGAGTTTATATACGTAAGAGCATATCTTTAGGATTTTGATTTTAAGATTCCTTGACTATTTAAAAATCGATTTCTTAAAAAAAAAAATCGATTTTTAAATTGTCAAGAGATCTTAAAATAAAAATTCTACATAATTCCTCTTACGTATGAATTCTTCTTAAAATCATTCCAATCATTTATTCTTATCCATTCTATCAAGGATAGACAGTATTATTGCACCAGCAACGAACTAGTTTTCGAAATTAAGCATAAAACGCACATTTCGAAAAATGGTAACATTAATACGTTTAACATTAATATGTCTATAAACAAAATCTTGTGTCCAGAAAAAGAGAGATAAAGAATTTCGTAATTATATACACAATTATCCAGTGCAATATTAAAATATTCAACATTAGATATCTTGGTAATTAATTTGATGAACGTGAATACGGATTCGTATCTAAAATGGACCTTGGTAGTTAGACTTATTTCGTTCTCACACCAAACTTATAATCTCCGGTAAACTTAGTACAAATGTAAGAACATTTCTCGAGAACTCGGAACGCCGCTTGCAGTTTCTCGCTGAGGTATAGGTCTAAGGACGGGGACGTCAGGCAAGTCGGGCGTCGGTGGCGGCGAGGCACCGAGCGTGCTTCCTGCTGCTTGACCGGAAGTCGCGAGTCAGAGGCTCGGCTCTACGTAGGCGTTACGCTTCCTTACGCGTATCTACACCGTCTCGCTCCCAGTTTCGCTGCCAGCCCGCCCGCTACTGCCTGCCTGGAGGTATCGTCGAGGCTCAAGGACATCGCTAGATTAGTCGGGATATAGTACCGCGTTTCATTCATAATCCTACAAGTTTGAAGGATCGGGGCTTAATCAAACAGAATATTCCTGCTATCAGACTCGAGCTTTAGCTTTCTCGCATCTTAATTCGAGCTTTAATTATAGCAACGTTTAATAAAGTGATTCCCATTACAGTAAGAAAAGACGAGAATTATACAATTGCAAAAAAGATCGAAATTGATTAAATAAAACTTTGTTTTGCGAATTGAATTTAAATTCAAAATTTATATTTTTAAAGTTGATAAATTTAATTATCAAAACATTTAATACTAAATTTTAATAGATTGCAATAATTGAATTAAAAATATTGAATTAAAAAGATTGATAAGCAGATACATAAAAAAACATGCAATTAATTATATTTCTCATCTTTTCTCCGGAAATCAGAGTGTCTTTATCAATCTACAAACTTACTCGCGATATATAACACATAAATTTTGCTCACTATAAATTGTACGAGAAAAATCCTCGGTAATAATCGAAGCGTTGAAATAAAAATCAGCAATTCGAGTTGGGAAAAACTGCAGTTTGGCTTCTTGATTGGCTGTTTATGACTCGTTACTCGTTATGGAATCGTAGTAGAATAAAACCGTAAACATCGTAAACCACGTTTGACGTTGATATTTCGACCTATCAACGCGTGCTTGTTCTTTGGTCGTGATAGTTTCTCCTTAATGTTAACTTGTTACCTTACCGCGGGCATGAATATAGAACGAAGGGGAATGCCACGAAGGTGGTCTCAACCGTACATCCGGATGATATAAATGAAAAATTCAACTTCCTCGGTAGCCCGATATTATAGCCGAAAGAAATTTCTACTGATTTCTCGACCAAAGAGATGAAATTTGTATGTTTCATTATTTTTGAGGATTTCCTTATAAATTCTTTAATTTAGAAGATATTTTGTAATACTTTTAAAGGCAATTAAAAATTGAATTACACAAAGTTTATGTAAAATTAAATAATGAATAAATTTCATTATTATATATCTTTTCGGATATTTGTTACTCAATCGTTTTACAAAACATTTTGAATATTCAATCAAATTACAAAATTATAATATAATATTTTATATGAACTTTTCAGCAACAGATTTCTATTGTAGTATCATTTAATAATGTGATAGTAGATCGTAGATAATTTCGAAAAAATCGATTTAGATTTTAGAACATCCCAAAATATCGCGATCTCATTGCTACTGTAATAAATCGTTTTTTCCCGAAACTTTCGTGGTTGCGTTGGATAAGAGTTTAAAATACGACGTGTC